CCCCCCAGCTATCTGGTTGTGCTCTGTGGAACTGTGTTCTGACAGCTTTGACACGGGTAAATATCCCAGCAGCTCTTTGATGGCTGCAAACTTTTATCCAACTGTCTATTGCTACACACACTGCCAGGCGTGGAGCTGGGGAGAGGTGGGAGTGGGTGGCTGATATAGGCCCTCCACTCCTGGCTGCGAAGGAGAGCTGCCGATCCCTATACTGCAAGCACAGGGTGGCCAGCAGCATGGGGAACTCCATTGTGGGGTCTTGCGTCTAGCTCTCAGAGGCTCTCTGCAAGCCTGGGATTATGACCACTTTTAGACAGCCGTCTGGGGTAATTGCTGCTCACTGCAGGGCTAGGGCGCAGGAAGGGGTCACAGACACTGTCCTTCCAGACCTGGCACGGGGCCAGTCGAGCCTGCCGACAGATGCAATCAACCAAGAACATTTCAGTGTGTTCTCGAATAGCCTCGTGGGAGAAAATCAAAGGAGGAGGTTTGAGCTAAACCCTAATACAGTGAATGTGTTTTTAGCACTTAGCTTCCCAGTCTTGGTCTCCTTACCTCTTAATTTTCTGGTCTGGCAGCAGGAGTGCCAGGTGGGTAATTCTACCTGGATGCCATCTTGTATTCTCCAGCAACATTTGATGTTTTAAAGAGAGCAACGCAGGAGAGATGGGGTGGCAGTTAAATTTGTATGTCAACTTGTTCCACTGTGTACGTGTAGGGGTGGAGTCCAACTTAACACTCAGGTCACAGCCTTTTGATGCCTCCTTGGGGGTATGGCCTTTTTTTACTAAGAGAGACACTAGTAACATCTTCTTTCACTTGCCCTTCACCTTCCACCTCACTGGGATCCTGTGTCTGACCTGGAGAGCTGACACTGCTCTGACCTGTTTCCAGCAACCTTGGATCCACTTGACTGTGCACCCACTGGATTGCAATCTCCCTGCTTCCTGCTTTACCTTTCTGCGCCCTGGCGAGCATCACACCCATGGACGTAAGTTGTATTGGACTGAGGTGCCTTCTTGATATAAAATTACTTCTTGACATAAAGTTCTTTCTTACACATATATGATTCTTACTGGTTTTGTTCCTCTAGAGAACCCTGGCTAACACTGATTTTTTTTTAAACATTTTATTAGGGGCTCATACAACTGTTATCGCAATCCATGCACACATCAATTGTGTAAAGCGCATTTGTACATTCATT